TTTTTTAGTTTTATTAAACTTAATTTTTCTGGTTTAGTTTTTTTCTTTTCAATGAAACGTATTACCCCAATTTAGCTCAATAGATTTATACTTAAATAGAAAAACAATTGTAAAAAAATGTATCTTTAGGTTTCAGGCTGCTGCTTTTGCTTCATTTTATTTATGTGTATCAGATTAAAGATGATCCTGATAAACGTTTTTTTAGATTTAAAACATTTCAAACCTTTAAAGAATCTGCAGGTAAAGGTAACGGCTGGAAGATCTGTTCCTGCTTTTCATGTTGAAATGTTTTTCCCTTTTTACCTGGAGTTTTTTTATTTTATTTTATTAAAGTATATTGAAGCGGTTGATTGTTTCTACTGTTGCTTAATTCTGTTCCTCTTATTTTTTTCTGTTATTTTGTTTTTATTACATTTTTAGAGTAAATATAGAGCAGTTAAAGGAGAAACTCATGCTGGGAAACTAACCGGATTCGTCTCTTTCTTTCAGTGCCTCTGGAGCCAACATCGTTGCCATCGATAATAAAATTGAACAAGCAATGGTGAGTCATCGGTTCAACTAATAAGCTAATTGGTCGATCTAAGAATGTTGTTGTTTATTAATAAAAACAGATATTTGCTTCTCAGTTACTTCAATTGATTTCAATTAAATCATATTTAATTTATTGCATAGAGTAAAATCTTATTTAGATTTATTTGATATATAAAATAAAATATTTTAAGCCTTTATGTTTGTTAGTTTTGATCAAGAACTTGCAGCTAATAAAACTTCAGAAGGTTAAAGTTTTACATCAGACCAAATTAAGCAAAGATTGTTTCTGCTGAGGGGTTTAGGAACCCCGCTTTGCTTTAACCCTTTATAGGGCAATCAGTGAAATAATCCCAAATAATCAAGCCAATTGTTTTATTGGAATCCAGGACTTTATTACCTTTATACTATTAAACAAATATGGATATTTTGATCGCAACAATGAAAGTCAATGTAATGAGAAACGCCAACTTGTCCGAATATATTAAGAAAAATAACAAAAGTGCTTCTATAAGAAATGTGAGTGAAAAAAAACACTTTTTTTTTTTTTTTGGTCTAAAATAACCATCTAGACATTGATGCTGATACAGGCACTTACATTTTTTTTATTTATAAACCTTAATATACTTTTTAACTTTTCAATCAGCTTTTTACCTTTTTTTCATGACTTCACTTTTTTTTACACTTAATTTCCAGGAGGTAATTTATCATTGAATGCTAAAATAAGATGTTCAGCCATGTAGCAAATCTTTGCTACATGGCTGGATATAGATCTTGTGCTTCTAGATCTGTGCAAGTGATCAAAAATAGTACCTTTCCCTATAAAGGGTTAATAGAATCCTTCAGCTTGTTTCCTCCTCTAAACTCTGTGTTTGGGCATGTTTGTTTTCCAGTTTTTCCTTCCAACCAACTTTCCCTTTTCCTTTAGAGGCCTCCCCTCTCTGTGAGGCGTAGATGATTCTCTTTCTTTCTTTTAATATATTCAAAACTAAATTATTGGGACTTGTTTTACCTTCCAAGCCATAAGTTAAACCGAATATTTTATTGAAATGAAAAAGATACACATGTATGAGGATAGAAGAGGAGACGCTTTCCAGGGTATTTTTATTGGTGGAAAAATAAATTAACAAATCTACAAACTTATATTAAATTAAATTTATATCAAAGTGGTGTTTAAAAAAGAAAAAAAAAATTCAATTTTTTTAAGTCTAAGATTATCTAAATAGTTCCAACAGTTCCTGTGATTGAGGGGTCCCACAAAGATGGTCCCTGGATGCTTTTTGGACACCCCTGACCCTGCTTTATCCAATATTAACAACCCTTTTTTTTTATTTTGTTAAACTGACCTTTTTCCCACCAAGCTTTAGATTAGATTAGATTAGATTAGATTAGCTTTATTGATCTCACAGCGGAGAAATTCACTGGTCACATATTGGCATAATAATTAAAGAAAAAGGTGCATTAAGAATAGACTATATATACAGTATATCAAGATAAATAAGGATTACATGTATCACACAATGAAAAACAAAATAAAAATAAGAAATAAAAAAATATAAGGGAGTAGCACAGAGATTTGAGGTGACATATGTCACATCATTTAAAATCAATCAATGAGTCTTTGATGTGAACTGAGATGCTTCAGTAGATGATAATCTGACCCGGCGGCTCCTCTCCGTGTTCTCCAGGACCTGGTGAAAAGCCATCTGATGTATGCCGTGCGGGAGGAGGTGGAGGTCCTGAAGGAGCAGATCAAGGAGCTGTTTGAGAGGAACTCTGTGCTGGAGCGGGAAAACGCCGTGCTGAAGTCTCTGGCCAACAGCGAGCAGCTGTCTCAGTTGTCGGCTCAGACGGGCGCCGCCGCCGCTGCTGCGACTGCGACTGCCGCCACCCCTGGGTCCGCCTCCAGCTTGCCGCAGATCCATCCCATACCCCAGCAGCTCCAGACTCAGATCGACGCTAGTCAGCAACCGCAGCCCAACGTCACCTCGGCTTGAAGAGGGTCTGCCCTGCTTTCACAGGGCAGAGATAAAGAGCATCTTCTTGTACAACTTAACATAATTAGCATATGTGAAATTAAACTGTCCTTTAGCCACCAGCTTGACCACAGAGTACAGTGCTTGTGTGTGTGTGTGTGTGTGTGAGTGTGTGTTAGCAAGCGAGACTGAACCGGTTGGGGAATGTATGCGTGCGTCTGTACTGTGGGCCTTTTCCAGTGTTAATGCAATCATCGAATGAGACAGAGGGGCTTACAGGAAGTGAATGGAGGAGGGGGGGGTCAGGCAGGCTGTGGGGGGGTCGTTCCAAAGCAGAACCACCAGAACTCCCAACCTGACCGGAAACTTCTGGAATTTGAGGGAATGGAGGAGGTTCACAGCATAGAGACGGACAGGAAGTAGAAAAAAAGTGATTATTTTTTTAAATGAGACGAAGTCTGGGGGGGTAGACGGGTCATTTTTGCCTGGCTGCTTCATTTATTTGGGGGGGGGGACTGGGAGAGTCTTTATTTAGTTTTTTTTGTTTGTTTTTTTTTCTCCGAGCGCCACACTGCTGCCGTTCACCTTCCCGCATCAAGTCCGACTCTCGCCTCAGTCCCTCTGATGTTCTACTGTCATGAGTGTTTTATTTATTACAGGGCTGCTATTTCCACAAATGAACAATTTCACACCAATCTGTTAAAAACACCGAACCCCGTTTGGCTCATTTCTTCTTTTCTTTTCTTTTTTTTTTAACAGTGTTTTAACAGCTGCCCTCTGTGAAGACGAGAAATCAAATTCTGACACGTTTAACACTAAGATATTCCGCTGCGATTGCCGATTTCTAGCTTGAGCTCCATAGAATGTACATTTTCTGTATAGTATATTTTCTGTATAGTATAAAGTATTATTGGACGGGCGACGGCACCCGTCTGCATCCCATGTTAATGGAGGCCGGCAAAGGTTGAAGAAAAAAAAACATATTTGATCCTAAAGTGAATTTAAGAGTATTACCGCCTCCTCCCCCCAACTCTGGATTACCTGTAGGGGGTGGGGCAACAGAGGGAGAAAAAGCTGTGAAATCATCCATCATACTTCAACGTACGTCAACCAAAGATTAAAAGCTGTGTGAATCCATTCTTTTCCTCTTTAAGTTTTGTTACTTCCTCCTTCACAGAAATAGTTTTGTTGCTGTTCAGCATGTTCTGCATGATCTGTAACCTTCAAACCACTTTCTTACCTCATTTTTATTCAGCACTCTTTATTGTAAGATAGTCTGAACAGTGTAAATGGAGGGGGGAGG